AATAAATGTGCACTGCTTCATTGTCCGTCAAAGTGATTACATGATTTTACGAACTTATAATTGAAATAAATATTCCTTATAAAATTCCAGAATCTGTAATTCATCATTATCCCTTAATGATTTTTAAAAGGTGTTCACAAAATGATCAATTTATCCCAGTGCTAAACCTCATCTCTGGATCTACGAATTTCACGATTCACGCCATTATTTTTTATCCTTGATTCTGAGAACTTTAAAATGAGATCCTAGTATAGCCAAGTTTTCTCCTGTTTTCCTTTTTTTTAAACATAGATTCCTTATCTGAATCTTCTGAGTTAAATGTACTATTCAATATAAATGTAAAGTGTCATGGTTAATTTCTTAAGGCGAAGTATAATTTTCAATGGACTTCCAAATTTTCTCATAACAGCCCCAAACCTTTTTTATAATTGTAAACGAAGCAATTTGGTAAGTTAAAAAAAACCCTTTCTTTTCAAGAAATTTCATAAAACATATCAAGCAAGAAACTCTTTCTCTCATACATGTATGTTAAACTGGAATTTAGAAGACAAAAAATGTTTTTAAAAGAAATTAATTGATTTCTAAACGTAGGCACAACTTAAGTTGATTCATTTGTCTTCCAGGGAAATCTTCAATTTCATTACGTTTAAAACATTAGGACTCAAAAATACAAAGAGAGTTGATAAAGGTGAGGATAACGAAGAGTGATCGATCTCATAAAACTTACAAATATTTGCAAACGAGGTCATTATAACGACCATAAAATTTACAAAATCCTGATATTTAGTGAAATTTTTGAAGTCTTGTAACATCGACTTATTTCTTAACAGCCTGTCTCGGTTTAAAAATTGATCGTAATCAGGACATACTCTAAATTTGGAGACATGAACACCATAAACAGATGATAGGAAAATATCACTACATAAATATGGAAAGTTGACGATGAAGAAGCTGAAGTTATCTCGTTTGTCAGACAACTAAGTTGGTCCTTATCGTCTATAGTCAGTAAAATATCCAAACATAAAATAAAACTCTGTGGTGTCTTTAATTTCAAGTTCACTGGGATATATCGAGTCGTCATAAGAATGGAAGTAACTATTGTATATTGATATTAAAATGTCGTCGATGTATCTAAATGTCGAGTTGAAGGCCACAGCAAGTGTTTTCTTCTTCTCATGTAGAAGTTTTTGAATAAATTTCCTGTACATAGGAATACAAATACAGGTCAGCTAATAAAGGATCACACGTCTTTCCTTTGGAATTCAAACAGTTTTATGGAAGACTACATAGAAGTTGTTAATGAGAAACTTCAGCTTTCTTTTAATATAAACTTCAGAGTACTTGTGTGTAGAATCAGAGTCATTTTAACCAAGTGATTTTCTTGATGACTAATCACAAAATATGAAATATTCGAGTTCCATTTTTTAAGATGCTGTCGTCTATGATATCAAAAAGTCTAGTTTTTAATTTATCGTGAGGAATAGCTGTATAATATATATATATATATATATATATATATATATATATATATATATATATATATATATATATATATATATATATATATATATATATATATATAACATACTTTTTGATGTTGCTGACTTTCGAAAAATTAATTTTTTTAACAGTTCCTTTGGGTTTTGAGAATCCACATTTGAATTACACCACTTCTAGTCTATGCTGTAGCACAGTACGTCTGAAGTACCTACTTTACAGCATTTGATATTTTGTGAGGAGTAAAGATAGGTGCTTGGCATTTTCTGGACCCAGCAAGATATCTTTGTAAGAATTTGTATGACGGTTTGGAATTCAGGATAGGTAAATTTAATAAATAGCGTCTTTTCCGAAAAGATTGGCAAATTACATGTATCTGCTCACCTAATTATAACTTTTTTAATCTGTAAGTCGTTGAATAAGTCCGAGTATGGAGTAATAGGGTAAACAATGAAGTAACCCTCCAATTTAGGATCAAAGATTTTTTAAGAAACATTTCCAGATCTGGAGATTGGCAGGCGTACTTTATTTCTGACCGAAAAACGTCTGACTTCGAATTATCGCTCATGATACCGGTATTTGTCAAAACTGACTTGATGTCACCAAATATATCATTTTAAAAGAGTGCTGGATAAGTCTATTGGTCTAAATAATTTGAAATGTTTCTAAATAATTGTGGACCTTGGTTCAAAATCAAAATATATATATATATATATATATGTGTGTATTTGAAATCTTTTGCGAAATCACATCAATTACGAGTATAGCCAATTAACGTAAGCTTATTTAAGTGTTGTTCAAATATGTGATGATGCTGATACTGCTTCATATCAAAACAAGCGATAACATAATTACACTACCGGTTTCTTTCAGTAGCAGCTTTTATTAATACGTACTTTTGAATTATTCAAAAAGTTGCATAATACAGCAAACTACGTAATTACTTCTCATTGAAAGAAAATACTTTTTTAATTATAGAACATGAAATGAATCTGGATATGTATAATATTTATTCTGGGATACAAGCAATTAGAAATGACTCTTATTGTTACAAGCTTGATTATTATGCACTAGCATTTTTCGCCTATTCTCTAAAATTAAGTCATATTTTAAGAGTACACTAATATACACCCTTGCGTTTGATAATTGTCTCCTACTAAAAGTTTTCCACCCGATCATGATTGTATAATTTAATAGAAACTACTTTTTCATTGATAGCAAATAAATTAATCACTTGTCCCTGTGATTATGTGATACAGTGTAAAATCATGACGCAAAGTCAAGACTTTTCCAACAAGATAATGTATTTCTTATCCGTTTTCAGCTAGAGTATCTTGAACAGTTCTGATAAACATTTAATACACATCTGTACTACATATGAAAATAAGGGATTCTATCAAACCGATAACATTATAACAGAAATAAATATTATTCCTTCTGTATTCATACATGTATTTTGAAAAGCCCTTATATTCGTGAATAATGTCTTTTCCTCTTCTGTCCCTTTGTAACAAGGAAAAACCTTCAATAACGTTATACACACCGTACAGTTTATTTCGAATTTTTTCCTTTTGATACAATTCCTGATGTTGAATCCTTGTTTCTTGGCTACAAATTTGTAATGATGCCGGTGAAGTATTAGGTATGTAGTACTTGGAGTTTTTCACTAGCCTTACGGGATGAGAGGGAAAAAATTGAATCAGTGAAAATCAGTGAAAATATGAATGTATTAAAATATTAACAAATGGTACTCATAGGGCAGTGGATGGTTTTGACAATACACGATGTAAATTTACGTATACTCTATCATAATATGTGGCTGGCATCTTGTTAAGAAGTCCCGATAGTCACTTTTTTAAGAGAAAAAAGATAAGTTAATAAATTTTGACAACACCGTTGGGCCTTTGTTACATCTTGAATTGTTTATCATTCTAGCTGCTCTTTGCATGATATGTGAAGTCCATTTGTTTTCACATGAACAGTAGCTAAATCTCAAGCATGTTTATACCATCTGGCTTCTAAACCATAACAAAGAAATGTTAAAACTTAGTTTTTGAATAATTTGGAGTTTATTTAACAAGCATGTCTAAATAGTTGCACGTTCATATAAATATCAAATACAAACATAAGCTGACAGTTTACTTTTTTTATTTTCAAAAGTAAAATTTTCAAAGAATTGTCTTTTAAGCATGAATCTTTGGCTATGTATTTTCGTACATTTTCACGAGCGATTATATTTCTATCATATTGTGAATTCATGCATTAGAATTCCGGCCCCAGCGCACATCAACCTTGTATTTGCATAGTATCTGTGTTTAAAAAATAACCGCCAGTGTGGGCTTTACGGTGGCTGGTATAGGGCATAATATAAGAAATATTTTAATTAATTCGTGGCCACAGAATAAAAATTCGTGGCCACAATTTTTTTAGCATATTATTTATATTTTGTAATAGATAGCACAACTTCGAAATATGGTCTGTTCCTCTAACTCTAAAGAAGTAAGTCTGAAATTGTAAACCTACATACTGAAGTTGCTAAATCAATCTTTATTTTGATTAATTATTGGCTATAGACGACTACCTGATCAATACATAGGCCTCAGGGCATTGTGACCAACAGGGGATGCTTACTCCTCCCTCCTAGGCACCTGATCCCACTTTCGAAATTTCCAGGGGCCATGTTTTATGCCCTTTTAACAAATTTGCATTGTTTATAATTTTTTTGAGATCGATCACTGTTATCATCACCTTTTTCATTATTATATTCGTTACACTGTATTAATAATCTAGGGACTTTACCTATATACTTTGATGTACATTGTATATACATCTAATTTTACAGACGTAACCTCACCTTATAAAATTAATGTTATATTATATATATATATATAAATGATTTTCATATTTAAAACTTGGGAAATGCCCTTTGTCTGTACCTGAGGGACTCCGACACACCTCAGCCTGTAACGAAGGAAATTATGTATTAAAAGCTCAGAGCTTCGCCATCTCCTTAAACAAAACTTTATACTCCTAGCCAGCCTGATAATCCCTTGCATTATTCTAATTAAATGCTTAAGGTCAACAAATGAATGTGCCTTCCAATGAAATGTGTCATCTTGGCATCAGGTGGTTAGGTTTTAGAGTAATGCACCATAACAATAATAATATGAAAGATTAACCTTTGCTTTGAGATGTGTTGGGAATTTGTTTCATTGTATGCCTGATTAAAATAACAAATATGAACTCTTGTCGAAGTCATTAGTGTATTAAGCTCTGACGTCTACTTGATGTAATTTCAAATTGTGAAAGTAGACCTGACTCAATGCTCTTAACAATGTATAGTCATCTTTCCATAACATAATGTTTAATCAGAGAGCATGATAATTTTTTTGTTGACACAAAGGCGGCTGATATCTACAAAGATGACTGATATCTAGATTATAATTCTAAAATGTCGGTATTCAGATCTGATCGCAAAAACTTTTAAGCTTGTGAAGAGGAAGGTAAATAAAAAAAAATCTTTATTGCATCAAAATTTGTACAAAGTGCATAATGAAAATTATTTTTTTGTTAGCATGTAGTCTAGATAAATATAGGAAGGACATAATCTGATTTGTAGAACTTGTATGTTGTAGCATCCATAAAATGTTTCAACCCTCAGTTCCTTTCATAAAAAAAAGTATATAAAGGAACGATTGATGTCTTCGTTTTAATCATTACTGGCCTCAATGATTGATTTTCTCGCTTGTCAAGTTGTAGTTGTAATGAATAGAACGAAATAACTATTTGCAATCGTTGAAACAAGTTAAGTGTATGATTGTATCTTGAATCCCTGAAAGCATATCATATCTATTTGTGCACATTTCTCTCATTAGCGATTGTAAGATCTGATGTATACAAAGCAGCCTGTTTAACTTTCATTTTTGTCTTTTTTACTGGCACTGGAGGGACTTCGTTTTAGTGTTATCCCTAATTTGGAGCAGATTTTGTCCACTACGTTTGGCTTGACATTAACTGCCTCTAGTTCTTCTTGTGTCATCCATTTCTCGTCTTTCTTGAGATCGTATCCAAATTTGACAAGTTTGCGTCCGATGTAAAAATTCGGTGTTTTGCCTCCCCTTAGAGCCATCATCATGGGCGTGTGTCCTAGTCGATCATGTATGTTTACGTCACATCCGTTTTTCATTAAATACCTGCATGCTTCCGTTCGTCCTTCTTGGATTCCAATAAGAAGTGCTGTTTTACCTGTGCAATCCCTCTCATCCAGTCGAGCACCTACAATAAAGTTTATCAACAATAGCAGTCTAAATCATGACTGTACAAAAATATGGAGTGAAAGGAATGAATGTATGGTAAAAATAGCTGACAAGGAATAAATAGATAAATGTTAATCAGTTTGAAACCATTTTTGATATCTTATTTAATCATTTAAGAAGCCATACCTGCATATTTTTAAAAAAATGATCTTACATATGAAAGATTACGGAAATATCAAATATGTCTTTTTTGCAGAGCTGAAATATTTTATTCAACTCTAATTAATTACTAACCCAAGGGTATCTACTACGTCGCATTTTAAAAATACACTGGATCGAGGTAAATGCACAAAAGGTTTTAGTTAGCTTTTACGTCCAAGCAGTAAGTTCAAAAAACAACAACTCTAAATATAAATCATTATTAATTTGGTTTGAAATTCTATTAATTGCTCTTTGGATCTGTTCAATATTGTGTAGAAATACATCATGTGTCCATATTTCAGATTACCTGCTTTATGAAGGTATCTAACAAGGTCAACATCATCGTACAGAACAGCTCTCATTAACGGTGTTTGTCCTAGGATCGTCTTGGCATTCAGGTCGCATCCTGTGTATACGGGAATCAGGCATTAAATACAATGGTAAATAAATAAATATAGCATTACAGAATCTTATTCAACAGGATTGTTAACAAAAAAGAGTGCTAAAAATTGAAAAATTACTATTCGTTATCTTATTTCTTTTTCATGAAACTTTTTTTTACCGGTACCTGCCCTGAGTACATTTATTTGTTGATAATAGATGTTTCTTGAACCTAACGTATCCTGTCTAATACTTCAATGAAAGATACAATAGTAATTTTAGCATAACTGTATAAAAAGACAAAGGGATACTGAAGCATAATCGCCACATTAATAATAAAGAGAAGACCTACTTAGGGATGGAAGGTTGTCAGCCTGCAATAGTCCCTCTCATTAGCATGAAGATCTTTATATTTTTTTTTCACTTTGATATGACATAATCGCAATGAAATACAACAGATGCATTTCACTCACTCATAATATTATCAAATGCTGTCAAAATGATACATGTATATGAGTGATTTCATATCAAAAGTGGCAGACCGTTTCTTTTTTAGTTATGGCAATCTACGGAACCTGATTTTGATGATTGTAGATATATGTACATGTATGACTTGTGTCATGGTTTCGTGAATTTTATCATTTTGCAGTCAAACCCGAGATTTAATTTTTCTGGTTTATAGAAAGTTTGAATAAGTGGGCTGCGCTATCTCTGATGTTTATGTAGAAGCTTTTATTATAAACGTTTGCATTAGATACCTGGCGACAAAAGTTGATAATGTTTAACAAATGGCGCTAGAAAATGATATCATTTTTAAAAAGTATGGGGTTTTTTTATTTTAAAAATCCAATTACCTTTTTTTTATAAAAAAAATAAACATAATTTATTACTTTCTAATACTTTCCTTATTGGTGGATATTTCTCCCAGTAATAAAAGAAAAAAATCTTACTTTAGCAATGATGAATCACATAAGCTGTCAACTATAATTTTTTTTATTTCTTTGAAGAGTTTGGTAACATTATTAATTATTCTTGGAATCGTGATTATATTTATGAATGTCAAATACAGTTAATCTTTTATGATAGTCATGGTCACCATTCAATGACCTATTGCTAAGATAATGACAAAAGAGCACTTTTTCTTATCAAAATTTTGGCACAAGTTAATAACATCTATATTAGCGATGTAAATTTCAATCAAAATTAAGTACTATCATAGCAAGTGAATGTTATAAATAGTTCAATAAAATTTCTTTATACCCCCTAATTAACGATTAAATCATTAAATGCATAATGAGGACAACGACATGATGATTACCAGATTGGATACAAGTGTTCGGTACCACTCTGTATGAGACAGTTATACTTTCCTAAATTGCTACCGCCCAATAGTAGTGTTTGGTATAGCTAGAGAAAATCAACTTTGCGGAAATATAAACCACAATATATCATGCGTCTTCCAAACTTTTGCCACAAAATTGTTACAATCGGTATGTTGTAACTTAAAAACCAAAGACAGCTATGTTTTGGGGATTGTGCAATGTGTGCAATAATTACTAAATTAGAAAGAATCCCCTTGACTTTATGCGTTTTCTAAGGACTGAAATGAAATTTTACACGGCACTCAATACATTGTAGCTAATCCCTGACAATGAGAATGACACCAAACAAGTAATAAAATGTACAGTGCGTGTTTATAAATCTTGCACTTTGTTCATATATTTCATAATTTTCAAGAATTAAACTGCAAAGGTTATCAGGTTCAATTTCTGGCCATTACTTTTATTCTTAAATAAGATGTGGAAGGCTGCTCAGTTTCATCTCGGAGCTCTTAGTTTCAGCATGAAATATGGAGATAAAGAACAGTTATCAAATTCCAACATTGTTGAAACAATACAAATCGGGAGAAGAGCATACATGTACGGACTTCTAAAAAAAAACATTAGACGTGGGATAAGGTGCCATGGAGGAGTAAGCATCCCCTGTCGACCGGTCACACCCGCCGTGTGCTTATTGTCATGATTGGGCAAACGGAAAAATCTGTTTTTAACTTGAATCAAAATAATTGTGAATTAAGATACTGCATGGGTTAGTTACGTTTGCTGGACAACTAAAGGAACTTTTTTGTTTTCATATTTCTTTGCTTTATGTCCTTCCTAGGCACTCGTGTTGGGATACCACAAACCACTTGTTGCTGCAAATATAGACCTGTGCTTGGCACCCATGTTGGGATACCACAAACTGCCCGTTGCTACAAATTTAGACCTGTACTTGACACTCATGTTGGGATACGAAAAACTGCCCGTTGCTACAAATTTAGACCTGTACTTGGCACACATATAAGGATACCCTAAACTGATCGTTGCTACAAATTTAGACCTGTACTTGGCACTCATGTTTGGATACCACAAACCCCCTGCGTTGCTACAAATTTAGCCTGTACTTAATTGGCACTCATGTTGGGATACCACAAACTGCCTGTTGCTACAAATTTTGCCTGTACTAGGCACTCATTTTGGGATACCACAAACGGCCCGTTGCTACAAATTTAGACCGGTATTTGGCGTTCATGTTGAGATACGACAAACTGCCCGTTGCTATAAATTTAGAGCTTTCCTCGGAACTCATGGTGGGATACTACAAATTGCCCGTTGCTGCAAATTTAGACATGTACTCGGCACTTATGATGGGATGCCACAATCTACCCATTGCTACAAATTTAGACCTGTAATCGGCACTCATGGTCCTTGAGCACGACCTTTTTCGTGCCAGCATTTACTCAGTTTCATTCAAAGGAACAATTTCCACATCCGGGGACTCATATTCTCAAAACAATTCAAACGATCAACCCCTTACTCTGCGACTCTAGAATGAATCGAGAGCTTCTTTCAAAAGACTACTCCAGGAAGGCAATTTTGAGTTTTCTGTAATTTTTATAAAAAATCAGGCTACAAGAATAGATTGTCTACGGATTTTTCCGTTATTTTCCGATCATAACAAGGAGCAGAGGGAGGACGTGACCAGTCGGCAGGGGATGCTCACTCCTCCATGGCACCTGATCCAACCTCTGATGTTTAGCTCTATTTCTGATTCGTATTGTTTAAATGGACTTTTGAGCTTGAATACTGTCCGTGATCTCCGTATATTTCATTCCTATGTTGCACATTGGCTAATAGATCTTCTGTGCTTAACTATAACTGATTCAAGTAGAAAATTTTATACCACAAGAATAAGTTTATCCCAATTCACAGCACCAGTTTTAAATTCTTTCTGTTCTGCGTCTTGATCGTCTTAATCATGTGTAAATCTTGTTATAATGACATGAATATGACACTGATGAATAAGACGTCGTTAGGAAACTATTTTTACACATGAAAAATATAAAAATAATGTTTGAAATAAAAGTATGATATACAGTAGTGTCTGTTCAAACAGAATTATCCAGCTTAATTTGTTAAAGTGACAGTTTATATACATATGAGCTTGTTATCAACGTTATATGTAAATGTACAAAAACCGAAGAGGCTCACACAGTATTCAAGAATTAGAGTTGCATGATGACTCACCTAATATCAAGATTCTTGCATGTAAATTGCTTAATTGTTAAAGAATAAGTGATTCCACTGAAAGAACTGACGAACATTTGACCTTAAGCAAGATGATAATGGAAAATTCCATGGTTTAAAGACTCTAGAATATAAGAAAACAGAAATAGGATACTGGTCCCCCCCCCCCCCCCCGACATTTTTTGTTTCTCTAAGGTCGAGCAAAATATAGTTACTACCAACACTGAAAATCCTTAAGAGATGTGGAAAGGGAAGGTATGGATGATGAAAAGGAATACCTGAAATGACTTTCGACTCAGGTGAGCTAAATCGTTTATGATGTAGTCTTACATGTATCAGGCAATATTTCATACAGTTCGTCATCAGGCATTAGTTCATGTATCCTTCATATAGATTATGCCATCCTCAAAGATTATAAAAAGCGTGGACTACGGATTATCAAGGTGAGACCACCATAAGTATGGCTTTTTTCAAAAGGATGTGAAGCATATAAAATCTCAAAACTTACAACGTCGTATGTGTCAAAATATTCAGTACTGGGCAATATACATGTATATGGTGAAAAGTCTTATCAGGGCAAGGCACATCATTAAGGTAACAGGTTGTTGATAGGTGTCTCTTGTCATTAAATCGAAAAATGTTCAAAAATGATATTTATTTTTCTTACAAATAAGTTATATTTTTTGCTTGTTAAAACTCAAAAGGTTATTTGCAAATTAAAGATTCATGAAAATTCAGAACGTTTACAATTTAAAAGAGATTTTACCTTTTGACACCAGAAATTCGACAACCTCTAAGTTTGATCTTTCTACAGCTTCATGGAGGGGTGTAACCCTGTAGATATCCCCTTTGTTGACATCTGACCCTGCATTTAACAGTCGTTTCGCTTCGTCTAAATCCCCAACTTTTGTGGCATTGAAAAATGTCGTCCGACCTTTCGCGTCTCTTTTATCTAGTATATTGTCCGGAAGTGAACCACCAGAATCGGAGCGAGACAAACGTTTCTTGATCAAAGGGGAACGCGACGTTAAACTCCAAGAAGAGGGATAAGAGGAAAGGGTTGAATCATCCATCATTCGCCGGTCCCCAACTTGGAATCAGGGGAGATTTAATCCGTAATATCCCACACCGAACACAATTCACAATTTCCCAAGTTTCCTGTGTGATCCTTCTACAAAATAACCTTAATAAAATGTTTAAAATAAATTTTCCCGACCAGGAAATACTGAGCGTATAATGATAATAACCGCACAGTATTACAAACAAATGAATGCAAGAAGAAATTAATACACCGCTTACGGCATCGTGTCACTTGCTCGACGTAAATTTAGCCACGCGGAACTGCTAACTGTCATAATTTAATCATAATTTATTGGAGATTTCCATTGTCTTCTTTATACAAGTATTATGTTTATGAATTTGTTAAGATTTGACAGACGAGAAAAAATTGTGTCTTTAAGAAAAGTAAAATAATTTGTGATTAATATGAGAGCCAAAATAACAAGCCTCCTCCTTCAATTTATCACGACTCCATTTGTTTGTTTGTTTTTTTATAATTTTTTTTACATGCGGGGCTGTCTATCCGCAGGATATGTTGTTTACATATAAATTGATAAATAAAAAACAAATTTATTAAGGAGTGAGTCGGAAGGCATATTGGCTTTTGGTAATTATACTTTTAATCCATCAAATTTCCGAATTGTATATCTGTTATACATTACAATGTCGTTTAATAAAGAGATGCAGTAATTTTTATACATTTAGAAAAGTGACTAGTAATAATTGCAATTAGAAATGTATGTAATTTATCTTTAGAAAGTTAAGCATTTCCTTTTTACCTTCAATAATAAAATAGTACAGATCTGTATAATGATTTATGTTCTGTTTTTATCGATATCTAATTTAATTGTTTTATGAAATATTGCTTTTGAATGTGAACTGTGAGTTGACGGTAATAATTAACATATGTACGACCCATTGTCTATTTGCTGTCATTTGAAAACCTTTTAAAAGTCAGGTACGGTTTTTGATAAAGTGCTACGTATATATATAACACATGCTTTTTATGATCAAACATGACAAATAATAAACAACTGAATAAAACCATAAAATATAACTAATAATGATACAATTTAAACAAAACTTGCTCGGGAAAATACTTGATATTTGTTTGTCAATACATGAACTTGAAATAAAAGATACCATAAAGTTTGACACATCTATTTCATATTTGGATTTTTTACTAGAATAAGGCGTTAATGGCAATCACATAATAACAATGCTTTATGATAAACTATTCTATCGTCATCTTCCCTTATTTATGTAGCAAAATACCATTATCCCCTGCATCCTGGAGTTTATATCTCCCAGTTGATTCACTACGCAAGGACATACGAACAATGTCTAAAACTATGCAAGTTATTGATAAATTAGTTGATGAAACAGGAATATCAACAATGTCGTTTAAAGTCAGCATTTCGCAAGTTCTACGGTCGCTTGAATGACCTTGTCGGCAAATACAGTCTATCACTGAGTCGAATGCTGACTGACGTTTTTCGTACTGATTGTTAACCATTATTTACATACTAATTGACAAGGAGCACGTTGTGGGTGTGTCAGGTCGTCAGTGGATGCTTACTCCTCCATGGCATCTGATCCCACATTTGTTATTTTTTAGAGGTTTCTGCATTGCTCTGCTCCTGATTTGCATTGTATCAATGAGCTTGATTACTGTTCGTACTCTCCATATTTCATATATATCAATTTAATAATATAATTTGAAGCATAGTTCCTTTTTATTCATATCATTACACTGTTTCTTGATGATTAAAACCTGTACCCAACTTCTTAAAACGAATTGTTAATTATTCAAAAAATTTTGTAAACCTTTATTTCCAACACAATTTCATCTTCATTACTGACATTCCCATTAGAGGGCAATCTCTCTACACTTAGCCTTGTTGTGTGTGTTTTTTTAATTATATGATTCATCCTTTTATTATATTGAAAAAGTGTTTGATTAATATGCATGTTAAAATTGATGATTTTTTTTCTCCGTTAGTCCAGATCACTCCTTCCACAATAGGATTCAATGATGTTACATTTTGCTTTAAATTGATAAATTTTGTTTTTGGATAAAACACGTACTCTTGGAATTTGTAATAATTTACATTTTTCTGGAAAACAGAACCAACCACGACTTGCTGTTCTAAATTCGTGAAAGGTCAAAATGTAGATTAGACACTATGCTTATCTAAAGCATAAGATTAGCATTAAATCATATTTGTTCTTCGAAAATGAAAACAAATATGTACTACAGAAATGTTGTTTAAGTACATTTCCATGGAAGGAGTGGAAACAGTAAATCTAGATTAAGAAATAGTTGATAAATGTTGTTTCCAACGTTATTAACTTTTTTACATGCATTATCAAGTTATAATTTCGAAAAATGTGCAAGGCATTTGAAGGAACAATTTCATTAATACTAGCACATCCTTTAAAACACACGCGTTCTAAAAAAGTAGATTCCAAAAGAAGAAGATGAACATAACGAATAGTGATCCCTCCAGAAAAAACCATGAAAACAATACAAATATTTGAATAGGGTATTAAACAGAGACATCTAAACTTCTAGAGGTGGGATCAGGTGCCTAGAAGAAGTGAGCATCCCTTGTCGATATGTTACACCCGCCGTGAGCCCTATGCATTAATTAGGTGCACGAATTATCCCATAGTCAAATTTAGTATGAACACAAAGGACCAACAATTGGTGTGAAGGGTGTCAGTAAAAATAAGACCCAATGATAAATTATATTTGCTTAAGAAGGTCATTTAAACGACCATATAATTAATGAAATGCAGACTTTAAAAACGTTGCTGTAAAAATCCCTGTATTATCAACATATTTGTAAGTAGCCTACCTTGGCTTAAAAATTCATTGTACTCAAAGCCTGCTCTTGAGTATCGAATAACACAATTTGCATATCCATATAAGCATATCCACACAATATGACAAAGATGACCTCAGCCTTTCCATCGTTAACTTTCCTTATTTATGTAGCAATATCCCGCTATCATCTGCATATGGTGTTCACATTTCCCAAATTATTCGATATCTAAAAGCATGCTCCGAGCATGATCAATTTTTAATCCGAGGTAGTATACTGACAGATAAGTTGATGTTACAAGGATTTCAACAGCCTCGTTTAAAGTCAGCATTTCGTAAATTCTATGGGCGTTTTAATGACCTTGTTAGCAAATAATACCTATCATTGGGTCGTTTTTCGGCTGACTTTTTTGTTTCATACCAATTGTTAGGCCTTTATTTTTATACGAAATTGGACTACGTAATGTTCCGTCTACCTAATCAATATATAGGGCTCATGACGGCAGTGACCGGTCAACAGGGAATGCTTACTCCTCCTAGGCACCTGATCTCACCACTGGAATTTCCAGGGGTCCGTGTTTTATGCCCTCTTCAGAGATTTATATTGTTTATAGTTTTTTTTATCGATCACTGTTCGTTATCGTCACCTTTTTCATGCATGTGATAGCAGATATGACTAGTAGACATAAATAAGAAAAGATGACAATGGAAAAGCTGGAGTCATCTTGTTTGTAAAACAATTTTGTTGTTAGTTGACCTTTATGGTCTATAGCAAGCAAACCATCCAAATATGAAACAGATGTGGCAGACTTTGTGGGATCTTTTATTTCGAGTGCACTGGGATATATCGATTCTCGAGTCCACATGATAATGGAAGTAGCTATTGTTAATTGATAAAACGTCATCGAAATATATCTAAATGTCGAGAAGGCGACAATAAGTGTTTTCTTCTTTTCATATACATGTTAAAGTTTTTGAGTACATTCTGCTTAATAGGAATATAAAAACAAAAGGAAAGGAGCACAATTAGTGTCCATCGAAATTCCAACAGTTTTATGTAAGACTTGGTCTCCAAAGACTACATAAGTGTTGCCAATAAGGAACTCCAGCATCCTTTTAATATCTACTTTTAAGTATTTGTGTATAGAATCACAGTGATTTTAAGAAAGTAATTTTGTTGATGTAATAACAAGATTTGAAAATTTCTGAGTTCTATTTTTATTGAAGAAGAAGTTGTTTTTATTTCATCACGAAGGATGTTTGTATAACGTGTAGAAGAGTCATACGTTTTGATGTTACTGAGTGTTGAAAAATTTGGTGATTTTAAATTTTTTAAAAGTTTATTTAAGTTTTTGAAAATCCATCTCTGATTTACATATATGCTAAAAAACGCTGTAGCACAGTATGTCTGAAGTTTCTCCTTTACTACAGTTCAAATTATTTTACAGAGTGAAAATTTATATATTTATATAATCGTGAGGGTCTAAATTGTTCAAGGCTATCATTAAGAAAAAAAACAGATATGATTGAACATATGTTATGACTAATAGCAGTTTTAATTGCATTGTGAAATGCACAAGTAATGTCTTGGGGAAATTTTGAATACAATTTCAAGCATCATAGTTTAATTTTTGAAAGCAAGTATGTAGGTGGCAAGAAAACAAAGGGAGTTTTTCTTTGTTTAAAACAATCTGATTCGATCATTAGAAGTATACACTTGTCAATATACAAGAAAAAACCTTCAAGCATATGTCGATACTATATCACGCTGGTGTTATTCAACATGAAATGTCAATCATTTGTAACCAGTCAAAATATGACAGAACTGTGTTTTGAAACTTTTATAAATAAGTATTGCGTTTCATCTAGTGTTAAAAGTCAATGTTAATGACGGAAACACTGTAAATAAGTCGACTGCCTCTACACGATCTTCGAGGAAAGGTTTGGATAAAAATGACACACCACTGACTTGTACAACCTATAGGAAAATGTTAACAGTAAAAGTTCCGATATCAAACTGATAGATGACAAGTCATTCGTAATCAATAATGTATAGTTTTAGAAAATCTTGACGATATTTGGAAAATATATGTTGTCAGAATTCATAGACAACATAATAGTGCAATATGTACTCTACAAAAATCATAAAGTACAAAATTGAGGGGACATATGTTTTAAAAAAAGATTTATTTTTTATACCTCTGTACATATGCAATTACGTAACACATGAATGCAAAACACACACAGATATGTCCTTGAAATATATGCCAAGGACACAAGTTGAATATTCTATTCAAAACGAACGTATGTAAAGTCCTTATGACATATACTAATGGTAAACTACAAACATAACAAAATG